GTCAGGTATTAAAAGAGAGACAGTGATCAGACTTATTAGAGAAGCAGCACAACTCATTATGAATGGATTTACGATACCAGTGAATCCAAGAAATAATCTAGCACCAGATGGGCAGCTATTCATAGAGATGTGCGAGCTAGATAAGGAATTCTGTATGACAGTCACTGAAAGATCAGGCAAGGATGACTTTTGGTGTATCGATACATGGCCTGAAGATATTGTCCATGAGAATGGACCATGGTCATTCGAAAGCATCAACGACGGTGATAGAAAAGTTATTTGTCCGTACAATCGAACATTACTGAATCAGTTAAGACAAAAGTACAGCATCGATTATCACGTTTCAATCATGTCGAACAGAACAGAATAGCATGATAAACATTGTCTCTGAAACTGATTGAGAGACAATCATAAAGAATCAGTAGGTGTGCTTCGTCTTTCATGACCAGAATAATCCTAAAAAATGTTGTTTATTTTGCTGTAAGAAATTGATTATTCATTTTAAACTTAAAAGAACTGTTTTGATCAAATGACATATGCAACTCAGTTTCTTGATGATGATGACGAGTTTTATACAGAACTGTACTTTAAATGAGTAAAGATTCGTATATCTGTCATCTTCATTTGACCAGATAGAACCAATAAAGTTCGGAAAAATTTCAGAGTCATATTGTATGTCGGGTTCTATATCAGAGAAGAGAATCTAAAAAATGAGATTGCTTATGAATAATCCTCATAGAAAACTGGCACCCTCAATACATCGAGCTTTTCAAGCTAATTCTACGAAAATTAATAATGTTTGGACTAAAAAAAAAGAGAAAGATTTTTGTTTTCATATTGCTTTTTTGCTATCCAAAGGAAGTTGACTATAAGCATGGTGACATGAAACTTACAATGGCAACAAGAAAACATTTCCATTATGTTTCTTTTCTAATCATCGATCGACGAGGTACAGAGCTTTTTTGATGTGAGAAAAACGTCAAAAGAAATAGTACGTCGACCAATCTCTTAATTAAATAACGCAACGTTTTTGATTGAGATTGTGTTGGATGATAGCAGACCATTTCGAAGTGCACGATATTTTAGACAGAAAAATAATCTGGACATTTTTTATGATATAAAAAGGGTTTAAAGTGGTTAGGACTCATTCTGATCTAATATTGTCGAGAAATTATTTGAGTCTGTTGAAAGTCAATAACAATAGTATATCAAATAGCCACGATGCTGACGCGCTATTGAGAATGCTGAGAGCGATGAGTGAGTGAAATAAATGCATCTATTCTACTTTCCACTCACTTGGAAGAGTACCTTCACTAACAACGGCTTTCGTCGACATCTCTCCATTATTTAATGTTAATAAGAGGGATTTTATGAAAAACTCGAAGAATGTCGAAACCTAGAAGGAAATAAATTTTGAAAACCGTGAAAAATAACTCGCTTGCTATCATAATTCAGTTTAAAGTATGATAAGAAAAGACACTAAGTTCTAATTAGCTACACTTAATTTATTGGTATTGTCGAAGGGAAACAATAGACCTGATAAGAAAGGAATTTAATCAGATTTACATTGTTGAACGTAGAGAATATGACACATCATATGCTGAATATTTTAGCTTTAGTTGTTCAGAGTTATCTGTTATGTTCACATTCTTGTTTGTATGACATATTTGATCAATATCTATTTGTCTTTAGTATGATGACGGCACTCGGTAAGTAACCTACTTTATCTTAGAAAACTATCACCTTATCGATATGATATCTTCGTTGTGTAACCAAAAATTTCAATTGTTCAGCTGCTATTTAAAAGAGAGAACTAATAAAAAAAAAGGTAATGTCTCTCTCAAATTATTTTTTATTAGAAATCAAAGACGTTAATGTAACGTGTCTTACCTAAAAGAACTGGAAAGAATACACAAATCTTTAAAAAACTTTGAAAGATCTACGAAGACCAAATCAAAACAATCGCTTTTTCTCATGGCATTTCATTCTTTTATTTACATAATGAACCAATAACAAATGAGTCGATTATATTGAACATGTTATAATGGTTATGTGCACACAGCCAAGAAAATATTACTACCGTGAAGCTAAAACTATATCGATTCAATTAAATAGAATAGAAGTATTGCTCGTCATGCTATCTTGTTCGATGGCTATACGAATTTGACTCGGCTTTTGTGATGAATATGGCAAAACAGCGAGACACAAAGGATCAATAGATGAACTATAAGTTCTGCTTGAATCAATAATTAAAATACAAGAAATAATGAAGATGAAAAGGAAAACATACGGCAATCTAAATTAGTGAAACTTCATCAGAATGTAAATGCAATCAAAAAATAAACACTTGTTAATAAAATTTCTAAGGCTAGACTAAGCACATATTTCGTCCGCCAATACAGTATTTCAGTTAATGTCCAAAACTGAGTATCTAGAGAAAAAAATATCGCAAACTATGTGAAACAATAGTAAGTCACAATGCATTAAGATAGACGAGCTATTTGTCAGAAATTTCGGAGTGACAGATTATTCTGAGTACATACTTTGATTTAACACCTATGCTGGTGAGTCTTTCGTTAACATGATATATGGCGAAGAAGACTTTCTCATCGAACATACGTCTCAACAGCAAGCATAGTATTATATCCTATTGGTAATTGAAAGTCTGACCCATACCAATGGACTTATAATCAGCCTCAGAAATTGATCAAAATGCAAAAAATAACAGCAAAAAACTATTGTTAGAGACAATACTAACAGTAATTGAAGAAATTATGGATAAAGTTCATAATCGTCGTTTGCTCTCTTGAAAATTCATATTGTTAGCCAGCTAAAATTTATTGCATCCTGTATGGATAAGGTTGTTGGAATAGGTTCAATGTGCAATAAAAATGAGGATCTTTCAAAAGATGTAACGGAATTCTGAAACTGTGGAATTCGACGGTATTGAACAGAACTAGAGAATCTTGAGGGTTTTCGAGAATTCTAGAAAAATTTTGAGTATTCTTAGGAATTCCAATGAGTCCAATAGATTTTAAGAATCTACAAGCAATTAAATGCATTGACATTGACAAATAATTTATTTCTATACATTCGTTTAATATATATTTTTTTAGGGATATTATCAGTAAACAGGACAGAATAGAATATAGCTCATATGTGTCAAAAAATATACAACAAAAACATTTCAATGTAAAAATTTATTAAAAAAATTTCAATAGTCAAATTAGGAATGACTATAAATCTACCCATATTTGGACACAATGTCCTGTGTAGAAAAACGAATAAAGTCTCAAATATGAATTCTAAAAGTTTATCGCTCGTGTATATAAATATCAATACAACCTATGTTGAAATGTATATGAACGATTAGTATTGTGGCTTTTGACAGTGAAAACTGATCGTCCGTCAGTTCATAGTTTATGACTAATTATGGAAATATATTAAAGTTGAATAAAAATTGACTCAAATATTTCTGATTGAACAAGCAATAATTTGTTGACTATTAGACATGTATCAATGTCAAAATTGAATCATTAAAAAAAAAGAAAAGCATTAATTTGTTTATGAACTTATAATGGTCTTAGAATAATAAATTGATCTGTGTCTATTGTTAGATAAGCGAAATGATTGACTCAATAGTATGTTATTAACTCAAAATAAAGTAGTAAGTTGATCGAATACTTTGTAGTCAAATTGTGAATGATGACCTCATTTCTTTTGGTAATCAATTGGATAAAGTTGATTTAGAACTAAAATAATGTCAGCATTAAAATTAGAAAGAAAAAGTATGAAAAAAAGAAAGTTTTTGACGTGATTTTACATATGTGACTACAATTTATCGTATTCTTCAATACATATACATTCTTGTTTTTCTTCTCTCTCTTCTTAGTTTTCAACTATAGATGCACTTATATTTGATTCCTTTTCTTCTTTAATTCGTTTCGTGCAATACTTATTCTTTACGATCATGTGAGTAATCAAATAGAACTGCTATTTCGTGAATAGAAAATATAACGTAATATTTTTTGTCATATAAATACTAACAAACGAAAAGATAATTAAAAATACTTATTGAAACCTAAGTTGTATAAAGTGATAAAATTATTCAACCAATGTTCATGTAAATGTTTCGAAATATTCATGTGAAAGGAATCGTTCTCGCATGTGCTCAATGAAAATGAGATGATTTTTGGTTGAGAGTTTTTAAAGAATAGAATACAATAAGATCATTCGAATATGTGCTGATGACTATATTGACGGATTAGATTATTTGCTATTCCTAGGATAAAATCATACATGGACCTAAACATCTAAAAGAGAATACTGTTGAATAACTCTTCTATGACATATTTCTGAATAGATTGTATCAAATATTGAAAGTATGTATCATGTTTATTTTTAAGTAAAAGGAAACACTCAGATCGCAAAAATAGTTCAATAAAATTATCACATATAATAGATAATATTGAAACAAATTAAAAAAGAAGAGCGATTCCAGTGCTTTTGTTCACAAATTTTTCAGTATTTTTCAAACACTTTAGTTTTTAAGTATTTTTTATAATAATTTATATTACATATTTTTAGTTAGTGTCGGTAAACATTAGCAATATTACAGCAGCCTTTTAATTAAAGAATAATCAAAGGTTTTTAAGTGAAATAAAGAATATTTATTTCATCAAAGATTCTGACAAGATGTTAAAGACGTTTTTATCAAAAATACGGCCAAGTATCACGGCTAGGTATATCGCAATACGAATACTTTAATAGCGTATCGCCATTGTCGAAAGTCTTATCAACACGTGTGTATTCGATATTTTATGTAATGATAAGAATGAAAAACATGAGATAAAAAATGCTTTTAACTTTTTAGCTTTCTATTGTTGTTGTGTATTGCATTTGTTGGTAATACGCTATAGTAAACGTTTGTTGTCAGGTAATGTGTTTTGAAAAAATTTCGTTTAGAAAGAAAATGACTGATTTAGAAGAAAGACTCTACAATGATCGATAATACAACAGTGGTTTCAACAGATGCAATTCCTTCGAATGTTTTTCATCGTTCACTTACCTATGAACCCTTACAAGCTGTACGAGCAGAAGGCAACTATATTTATCTTAAGGATGGACGAAAGTTGCTTGATGGTAGTAGTGGTGCTGCCGTATCAAGCCTTGGTCATGGTAATAAGCGTGTCATTGCAGCAATTCTCGATCAATTGCAAACTGTTGACTATGTACACTCTGGAACCTTTAGTAACAAGGTAATTCGAAGCATTTAATATTATTCTTTTGGTGAATCATCTCGGAACCGCTAATGCTTCACTTCAAACGAGCTGTATAACACTATCTAACTAGGTTATAAAGCATTTGGAAACTTGTGTCAACTTCTTTCTTTATTTCATGTAGCAAAAATATTTAGAATGAGTGTTTACATTTCATTCATATTTTCTTCACTTTCATTTCGTCCCGTCATCAACAATAAAAATTTATGAATGTATTATTAATCATATTGACAGAATCATATAGTTATGTAGCATGTGGTAAGATTTTGAAAGACATTAATCTATCTTAAAATCAAGGTTCATATTAAAAAACCATACCTATCAATTGTCGACATATGTGAGAATTTAAAATTTTGTAAAGTTATATGAAACTTTTCAATGGACATAATAATTGCAGATCATTTTCAGATAAAGATTAAAATACAACTCTACTGCTAATTTAATAACTCTTTTTTTTTTCTAAAATTTTTTATCTAGGCAGCTGAAGAACTAGCTAGTGAAATCACCAAAGAGACTGACATGGCAAGAGTCATATTTGTCTCTGGTGGATCTGTAAGTTGATTTTTGATGATTTCTAGTTTGTAAAATCCTTCGAATAGGAAGCCATAGAATCAGCGATCAAACTTGCTAGACAGTATCATTTGGAAAACAAGCAACCTGAAAGAGTTAATTTTATTGCTCGTCAACAAAGTTATCATGGGAATACACTTGGTGCACTAGGTCTATGTAGTCACAAGCCACGTCGTGCTCCATTTTTACCGTATTTTCCATCACATTTTCGTCATGTCTCACCTTGCTTTGCTTATCACTATAAGTTGTCCGACGAATCTGATGAAGCCTATGTGAAGCGTTTGGCTGATGAGCTGGAAGCCAAATTTCAAGAACTTGGTCCTCACACGATAGCAGCTTTTTTTGCTGAAACAAGTAAGTTAGAGCTCTACAATATATAATGCATAATTTAGCTCTTCATTGTCAGTTGTTGGTGCCACAAGCGGTTGCACTCCAGCAGTGCCCGGTTATTTCAAGGCAATGCGTGAAGTGTGTGATCGACATGGTGCTCTCTTTGTTCTCGATGAGATCATGTGTGGCATAGGTCGAACGGGTAAAATGCACGCATGGCAATGGGAAGATCTCTCATCTCCACCTGATATTCAAGTCATTGGAAAGGGACTTGGTGGTGGTTATGCTCCTTTAGCAGCAGTTCTCATGTCAACCAAAGTTGTCAATGTCTTTCTTGCCGGATCAGGTGCCTTCATCAATGGTTTTACCTATCAGTCACATGCCGTGGGATGTAGAGCGGCTTTAGAAGTTCTCAACGTGATGAAAGAAGATGGATTGATTGAACAATGTTATCAACGTGGACTCTTTTTAGAAAAGTTACTTAAGGAACAGTTGGGCAATCATGCACATGTTGGTGATATTCGGTAAGTTTATAATATTTTTCGCTGTTTAAAGAGTAATTCATTGTCAGAATATCGAAAGTACGAAACTTAAGTAAGTGTAACCTGACATGTGATGTCTTGAATGGCACAAAATGTTGATAAAGATATAAATAGTTTAATCTTTTGTGAGAGAAAAGGGAACAGAGGACGATTAACGATCTATGGAGCACTATATAACTACTTTTCGACTAAGTCAAAACCAAATTTACCTAGAAAAATTACCAAAATCATATTTTCTCTAGGATTTACAGTAGTCAATCGATAGGATGGTATTATCCTTTTTACATAGCAACTATTGTATTCTACATATGTTTACAAATGAACAAGTGACACAATACATGGATTATACAGTCGAAATGAAACATTATGTCATAGTAAAACATAATTGAATAAAATAAACTGCACTGAGAATAATCCAAGGAACAAATATTTAAAAAAAATGGAAAATAGCCAATCAACAAGAATTTCTACATCATCAAAGTTATAAAAATGACCCTATCCTGAACTTCTTATTATTTCGATGTCGTAAGAGAAATATTCTCGGACAACATCATAATCGTAAATAATATTGAAATGATTCTACTCGACTTCTTTTTTTTTCATTCCGAAGGTGCCACAACGTACTGAGAGTTTTTTGCAAAAATAGAAATAACTTAAACGATTCAGCATAAAAATTTATCATTTTTATCAGGCGTTGTTTTTGCAGTCAAAGATAACTGTTTACGAAGAGTATTAAGATGTTAGTATGCAAGAATATTGTTCAGCTATTGATGATAATACAATTTTCAGACTTTGTCGAAATTTAGTCTTGAATTCTAAGAAAATTTTACTCTCCAGGGGTCTATCAACGACAATATAACCACACTAGAAAGAAATGAATTATAGTTGAATGAAGAATACTGATAATTACGTGGGCAAAAGTAGTTGTAAGTCATTCATGAAAGAAATAGATATAAAAATGACGAACTTGTAATTTTTCCGAATAATATTTTCAATTAAGATGTAGATGACGATGTAAATTTTAAAATAGTGAGTTTTTAAATGTATACTAAAAAAAAGCGAAGTAATAAGGTTTATTATATATAAGTTTCATGAGAAGCCATGATCTAAAACAGAAATATGAATAGTTCCTAAGTTAACTTGCTGTTCGTCGCTGTTGAAATAACAAGTCAAGTGAAATTTTTCTTTTCGCTCAATGTTTTTTTCATTCAAATTTCAAGTTGATTAATATACTGAATTGAACTGTTGTTTTTTCTCTAATTTAACAATAATTGTCTCACGTTTTTAATAAAAACTATCCTAGAGCTTTTGACCCTGATTCATTTGTATTCATTCAGATTTCTTATCAATACTCTGATTAATTTGAATAGATTAAAAACTCTCAATGTATTTGTTGCATGTGAAACAACATTTAAAAGTAAAAAATTCCAAAAAAGAAAAAGATTCTAGTTGATGGATAACGTTTTGTTGAGATTTACAATCAACTGTAACTCGATATGATGCTGTCTAGCCTTACAAAGTTCATTTTTGCTACTTAAAAAAATTTTTTTTTCACGTGTTTCACATGTTTTCTTACCACATAAACATCAAAATACCAGTTTTGTAGATGTCAACAGTCGTCTTCTTTTCCAATTAAAATCTTAGTTCTTCATGCAATAGGTTCGTCTATTTAAGTTGAATTTTGTATTTCAAAAGTTCAATCATTTAGACTATTTACATTTTACTTATTCAGATTTAAATAGATCATTATATGCATAGAATTATGTTCTTTCTTTTGCTAGCGGTCGTGGCCTCTTCTGGTCCTTGGAATTCGTCAAGGACAAAAAAACTAAAGAGATGTATCCAACCAATTGTTTATTTGTTGACCGGATTATCAAAGAATGCATTGAGCGTGGACGTGAGTAGTCATTCATTCTAAATTTTAATTATAGACTTTTATTTTTTATGCAGTTGTCGTTTATCCTGGCACAAAAGGTACTGCTGATGGCATTCATGGGGATCATGTATTAATTGCTCCACCGTATACAATTACCGAAGAGGAACTTATTTTCCTTGTTGATACTCTCAAGACATCGATTGATATTATCTTCAAATCTATGCATGCTTTTACTTAAGTTGTTTTATGCTCATAGCTATTGTATTGCTATTATGCATTTCAAATAGGAAGTTTTTCAAAAGCAAAACGTTGCACCCACAGTAATTAAGGTGAGATGATTTTTTTTAATAAAAAAAGAGAACAAGAAAAAAGAATTTCAACGGAAAAAATAAATTTTCAAGTTTTGACTTCTGTGTTCTACAAGGTTTCAATTGTACTGATGTCTCAAGCTCTTTACATACAATATAGAATATTTTGTTTCAGGACTCATGTATTTCCTGAATGCACTTACTTGAGAAGCCGCTCCAACAAGATACCATACCATACACTACTATTACTTGATACTTAGAATTAGCTATGAGTACTCGTATTACTTATTACTTTGCATCATCGTTTGATGTATTTTTATTATTTCAAGAATACTAAATCTTTTCTTGTTTCTTATTAATCAACTATGAAATATTGTCCTATTATTTTATTACTAGTTAGTTTTATTTCTTTTCATAGTCTATTAGTTGTCACCAGTAATAAGTAAAAACATGAGCAATCAATTATGACTATAATAAACTAATAACTAAAGAATCATCACAATATGATATAGATACAAATAAAAGGTCAGGTGTTGGTACATAAATGTTATTGACTTATCAAATAATACTTTACAGATCTTGTCAAAAGCATGATATCATAGAAAAATAATCTAATAAAGGATTCTATTTCATTGTAGCTATTTGCTCTTTTTTTTAAATATTATTTTTGACAACAGTAACAAATATCTTTCGTATCATCTACTAATTTTTGTTATAGAATAGTCCTAAGAGATAATGACATAATCATAAGATTAAATCGGATTTGATGAATGCTGTCATTATTTATTTGTTTATCCAACAGTACAGAGTTTTTCGATTATGCCATCCTTCAGATTGATATTTGCACGTATGAAAAATTGTACTTTGATTCTAGTTTTTCTATAAAGCAATATTTCGAATAAATTTTTGATGTACAATTAAGAAGACGATGAATTTAATTTATTTTAATTAGCTAATGAAAAGAGCAATATATACTGTTGATAGTTCTTGCATAACTACAATCTTCTTTTAATAAACTGTCATACACAACGAAGAGTAATTAAACTAGAGCGTTAGTCTCTTGTTATTTAATAATTCTATTCATAAAACAAACTTTTCATCGTCTCAAAATGTGAAATATAGTAGACAAGTATAGATCTGTATGTTCCAAGATTACTAACGATGACAACTAAATAAACTAGTAAGGAAAGAGATGAGTGCTTTTTTCCACTTATCTATGTCAGGTTTCATTACACGACTAAATTAATATTCTACATATTGCAGAAGAAATATTTCAACAAATCGTGATCTTGACAATCTAGCAACTATATTAATTTTATCAAAAATGCAGGAATAATTATTTAGATCAATCGAAGTTGGAGAAATAAAATTCAATGTTATCCTGATGTTCCAGTGTGACTGTATCGTTCAAATTGACGATTATTTTTTAAAGCTTTGTTTGTATTACTTTAGTACTTTTTTATGTTTATTACTTATGACCTTATAAGTATCCAATTCTTATAACTTCTATCACTTTGAAAAATTGTAACTGATTATCAATTATAATAATGCAGCTCGCATGTTGAGCATTTGCTCTATAGCTAGAAAACCAGTTGCCCAATAATCGAATTGATGGACATCATTCTGACATAAAAGTAACTTATAACGACACTCATCATCAGCTGGCACGAGTCAGTTTTGCTCAGTGTGTCTAGAATAAGAAAAATACTGTTTATGATAAAGAAAAGTTTGTACAGATTCAAAAAAGACAACTAAGCAAATTCGCGTCAATCATTGAAACTTCAAAAAGAAACCGCATATTGTCAAGTCGCTTCAACTCATAGGTGTGTACAAATTCCGCAAAACTCTATTGAAGCTTCCAAACTCAAGATGACCTAAAGAAATCCTTGAGTATATTAGGACAAATTTTGAAAGCCAGCTTCGACATGATAAGATCTCGGAAACTTGAATAAAATCTGAGAAAAATCACTTAAAACAAGGATAAACAAAAAAAAATTTGGAAATAGTCATAAAACATTTATAAATTTTGTGATCTTCATTAATCCATGAAACTAACCAGTGGCAGTTTCTCGGTGAAAAAAAAAGATTTGAGAAAATCTAAAAATCATGGAACTAATTCACGATTATAAAAAATGCTAAAAAGACTATATTTCCTATTTGAAAAACAACTTAACAATGTAACATAAACTTGGTAAGATTTGTAGACTTTCGAAATCAATGGTTTTGAATCTAACATGTTTTCAAAAAAACCTAGTTCTGTAATTTTTGAAATATTCATAACTCATCTTTCTGAATACCTATCTATTACTGCTTCCGCAAAATATAGTTTACGAAAAAAAAACACATGATACATTTATCATGTTCTATGCATTGAAATAGGCAATATATTTGGCTTCATTTTTTCTAGGAACTATATTTTTATTGATACTATGTGAGCTAAGTCAACAAAATTATCTCGAATGACGGCAAACGTTTACAATATACACTAATTTTATCATAAATAACTAATCTCAAGGAACATATGCTGCATTAATTTCTGTCTAAATATTCATTTCCTGTAATAGAAAGCTTATTCACTTTTTGAACATCGTATTGTTAGTTATGTGCATGTTTCAATGAGAGTATGTTGTGTTTAAATAAATATTTTTTTTACTTATTTAATGAATATAATTAAAAGCTTTAGTTATGTATAGAAAGCAAACACAAAATAAATGGTAAAAAATGAAAATCAATTATAAATACTAATACGCCTAAATCAGCCTCTTCTCCAACAACAGCTTTCTTTTTAAGAATAATTATTGAAATTATCAAAAAGATGAAATACAGACTAAAAACTAATACAAATAAAGCTAAAGTATTTTTAAGTCTCGTTTTTAACGACTGTTTCGAAAGAGAAGAAGAGAATACATGAATCCAAGCAAAACCAAAAAATAATGCAAAAGTAGATAAACCAACAAAAATTACTGATAAAGATGATAAAGGAAGCATTGGCTTTTTAAAATAACCAGTTGATAAAATCCATCTATAAAATTTATCTTGACCATCTTCTTCAAATATATGATCCAATTGAAAATGTAATAAACATCCAGCAATTGCTAATAAATAACATTCTTTCATATTTAATGACACTATATTTTTACTGGTTTGTTCTATATTAACATTACTGAGTTCAGTACTTAAGGATTTTGTATACTTCCAATTTACTATTTTTCTTGATAATCGCGAAGATAAAAAAGATATTAAAGGTGCCATTATTAGAATATATCCAATACTATGATGAATCCAGGACATTGCTTTATCAGCTAGGATAGGAAACGTTATTTCAAAACACCAACCAATAAATGATCCGATATCAGGTCCAACAAATCCATTCAAAGCTAATATAAGACAATGCATGGCAGTGAAAGATCCTTTTGTCGATAACATGATTAATGTTCCAAATCCTAATGCATAACCAATATGAATAAATGGACTTGGCATATTTTGATCACTAGATACGAAAAAGTAAATATAAGAAATTTTATTTCTTTCTTAGTACAATTTCTGGGAACTAAGATCTTGAATATTAGAACTTACACTCGATTGAATTAATGGATTTTCTCTAACAGTAAAGTAAGTCAAGCATATCATTCAACTAATTCTTTGTTTTCAATCGACTGATGTACAGTAACTTTTTTTCAAGTAATTTTCTCGAAACATTCACATGTGACGACAATATATAGTCATACAGGCTTAGTGACAATGTTTTCGAAGGAACGATAGTATAGCTCAGTGAAAATGTAGATGAAATCTAGGAATAATTTTTCAGGTAAATATATTGAATATAGAAGGCTAGAAAGAACTGTGTCACGATTTATTTATCAAGGTCATTGAATAAAATGAAATGTTCTACAATAATTTTGATAAATACAACAGTATTAACATTGACTAGTAGTTACTCGATAGATATTAATATTAATAACCAATAGATAGAAGATGATGAAAAGAAAAAGATACACAATTATATAGAAGTTGTTGATATGCTAGATGCCGCACCTTTACAGAAGATCTATGAAACTCTCGAATAACTTGAAATCAACATATTCAATATGCTCATGTAGTTATTAGGCAGTTTCATGTTTTTTGAAAATTTTTTGAACACTCTTTTTTTATTTATCTATTGAATGGCAGTATCAGAAATTCGAAAAAAATATTGCTATATACTTTCGACTATAAAAGTCTTCTCGGAGTCTCAGTAGAACTACGAAAAGTGTATTGAGACTTGAAGAGGACATCAACAGTCGGTATCTTTTTCAAGGATAGTTCGAATCTGATTATTGCCATTAAATACATCTATAGAACGTGAGTATGCGACAACATTTGAAAATAGCCAAACTTTTCATTACGGCGAAATTAAGATATGGTCCGTAGGAATTTCGAAAATCTTTAAAGTTTATCAAACATTCTTTTGCAAAATTCTACCGATTTCGTACAATAGAAATAGAGCAAGAAAAATAATACTGACAGTCGAAAATATGAGATAGAAAGATAAAAATCATATCCCATGTACTCTTATTGTTTTCTCTCATATTTTTTCAATTTATTTTTTTTCGTTCTGTTCAAATACTACAATCGTTAATATTCGGTACTGTTCAATTTATGTTCAAAAATTTTCATTCATGCTTAAATAGTAGACGTTAAATAAATGCTACATTTTTATTTGTCATTTTTCTTGGACATTTTAGTTAAAATTTGAAAGACTTTGATGTAAGCTAGATTGAAAGAAAATATTTCTCTTTATATATGATTAATAAAAATTAGATTTATTAATATAGAATATTCATTGATTTGCACTGTAAAGATATACAGTTATCACGATTTAGATTTTGACAAAACTGCAAAGTTTATCGGATAGGATAGATATCTTCGTAGTCAGATAATTTGTATATAAATCTATAAAATTGTTAATAAATCAAATGAGTAATTTACAAGTTTGATTTCAGCATTTGTAAAGTTTTTCATTCGTATCAATTATATTGAGATTATTGTGACGATTTTTAGATAGAAGAAGGGTTAGTGAAGATAGAATTACACTTTATTCGGCTTCTTCATATCATCAATCGCACCTGCATACAAATGTTTCTACACTTTATATACACAGGCGTCAAAAATAAGCAAATATCACAATATAATGATGTGAAATATAATACCAGAGGATAAGGACAAAACTTAGGCTAAGGATAAAGTACATCCTGAGGACAAAATATTAAGCAAGTCTAATCTTCATCGTTAAAATTATGTATTGAGTGTAATTAAGATAGTTTTAGGATTATTTAATGATGAATGTCTTATCTATTTCCAACAGAATCATTGCTACTTTTGACAAACTTTGTATCTATCTCAAATACATTTATGGTTCCTGTTGAAACGTACAAACAGATGTGTGCTGACATTACTTTTTCTAATCTCTGACGCAAAACATTGTACTTTTTTTTGAAAAAATGTGTTGGTGATATTTAATATGCAAAGTGTATCAGTGTTCTCTAATTGTAGACCAGAAAGCCAGGTGAACATATTCTTTTTTTGTCACAATACAAGCGTTGGAAAAGGCATTAGTCCAAAAATCAGCGTGAATCAATAAATTCAAAAATCTTGACAATTTATACAACAGTCAAGAAAGCACTGATTTTCAGCAAATACTTCTATATACATATCTGAACGATAGTATTAGCGTTCATTCGTGAAGTCTATGTTAGACTATTCTAGAGCTATTCGAAAGATTCAATATCTTTGATTGAACATAGGATTTTACGAATTCAACTTACACTTTGAAGAAAAATTAAGGTGATCTTCAAAAATAGTTCATTATACTGCATCGAATCATGCATATGAACAGAAAAAAAAATTGAATATCTTCTTATTTTTAATCATTGAAGACTTTTAGTGTTCCTCTATAGATATTTTTAAAAATATTTTCGCATAAAATAAGACAATAGTATAAAGTCTAATGACAGTATGAATTATCAAATTATTTCATCTATATTATTTCACTCAATAAAACTCTGAAATTTTGGTAACAAAAGGAAACCTAATACTGTAGATTTGTTTAACTAATTACTATAATATTAATTAATGAATCTCTTAAAGCTTGTTAAATCAATATATCAACCAATCATTAATATACAGTGAATGTTATCTCATCTGATTTACAGACTAACATAGATATATTTCCTATATTATATCAAATTTTCGTTGAAGTATTTCTTGTTGAATTCTAATGAAGAATAGACGATTAGATGATCACATAATATTTGAAAAGAAAAAACTAAAAAAAAAAAGGTAATTAAATTATTCAAGTGCTACGTAATTGATGCCAACAAAGATGAAGAACTTTAATAATCCAATATTGAATCGATAATGCATAGGCTTATTGATGTGATATTCAGTTAATGTGATCTATTCTGAATTTCTTACATAAAATAAATTGCTAATCTAACTAGATAATGTTAATATGTCGCTTTGATTTTAAGATATTTAAATCAAACAATATGAGCCATGAAATTCGACTACTAAAAGCCTTTTAATATTAGATAGATCTTTTTTCATGAAAAACAAATTATATATTTGTGTATAAATCTTTCGTATTGATCATAAACTAATATTCATCTCATATTTTTCATAGTCACTTTTTTATTGGTACAACAATATTTGAAAGAAAAAAAATAGACGCTTTCATTTTAAAAGATATTGCTTCGTTCAATTGATTAGTAGCAGTTCCGTTTAAATCAACTACTATGTATAATATCAAATAGATTATAAATCTTTTTTCTGTCATTGTATGACGATTTTAATAAATATTTACAGTGATATAAATTAAATGGTACTTGAAAAAAAAACGGGGTTTTCGCTGTGTTCTAATTACAATCTGAACTTACCATAAATATAAGAAACTTTCAAGAATATATCAGTTCTTTGAATAGCTTCACTTATTTAAAACAAGGAAAAAACTTTGTATTGTTAGATCACAACTCGATATAGTAAAATTTGGTATCCAGAAAAAAAAGGATAAATAAGAGGAAGGATGAATATCACTATTTTAAGCTACCTTGCAGCATGGAATGCTGCCTGGTGATAGATCCGAAAGCTCGATGCCTTCTCTACTAATAATACTTCATACAAACCAACTGACCACATACGAACTGCAAGAACGGATATATGTCCCAACGTAGTCAGCATGCTATCGGACGGCTGATTCAAGACAAATTGCTATCAGTGATTTGTTAAGAGTCATTCTATAGTTGGTGATACTGAGAATTGCACACAATACCTTGCGGTCAAGTGTCATACTACGCAGTCATTTAGTCATAGTGGCTTTAAATAGAAGTAATTTTATTACATATTGTTAATATAAATAGATGTATAGATGAGACAGTATGCTTGTCTTCTTGAACATATTTGATAAAGAATATTAACTTCAATTGTACAATTACTAGAATATAATCAGAATGATTAAACTAACTATGAAATATTCAACGAATAAATATTAAATTACCTTGTGAAAATGAAAAATTATTTGTAGCGAATACTAGACGACATATAAAACGCAATTTACCTTATGTCTTTAAGGTTATTTTAATATAAATTAAAAAAAAAACTTGTATCAATATCAAACTATAAATTTGCAGATTTGTATTGAATGATTGAGTTTATTGTAATGTCTGGTTTATTATCTATCTAGTGATCTTCTTTTACGTTTTAAACTTTTGCAAAAAAAACACCATTATTTGACAGTTGATCTTTCATGATTTATATTTAGATTAATTATATATATCTTTTATTTTATCTATAGATAAGTTTAATAAAACACAGAAAATTAGTATTTGAAAAGAACAGTATACACATAAGTAGTGTAGCGTTAGTAAGTTCATATAAGATAAATATAAGCTCAAAAAGTTTTTAAAAACCGATGTACTGATTTTAATGATTTTCAATAGAAACATGTATGAACAAAGTTGAATAAGTTAGATTATTATTTTTAGCTCTCAGATGAACATGACGATATCCTACAGATGAAATAAAATTAATAAATATTGAGAATTAATTTCAATGAATATTACCTGTTTGCATAGTTGTCATTGGTAAACAAAAATAAGTTAGTCTATCATCTCTTGTAAATACATCATAATCATAAACATCAAAACGAACAAGACACATTTGTGGAAAATAAATATCAAATTGAAATGTTTCATTCCATAATGGATCAAATCCATTATTTTCTATGAATTTTGTTCTTTGTGATTGTTGATCACATGGCATTCCATGTGTTGATATCACAACATATGGATCTGGTATATCTCGTGTTGTTTCACTTGATCGAGATAAAAATTGACCACTAATTATAATTATCGTTAAACGTTGAGGACATTCAAATAGATTAACTGGTAATATAGATGGTTTTTTAAAATAATCAAATGGATTAAATTGATTTTCATGTACATTAA